TGGAGACGAAGTACTGCCCACCTCAATACACAGACAACATTTGACAACATTTGACCAACATTTGAATATTGACAACATTTGACCTTCATCTGTATATAATCATCATCACGAAAAACGTCGTCTTCGTTCGAAGGGTTGATCAGGTGATTCGGCCTAATAAACGCCGTCGAGACTCTAACGCTGCTACTGTCTTACAATATATATATATAGTTATGACCTTTGAGAATAGTGCAGTATAGGAAAAAAAACAATAAAATATTTGTTTAATCCTAACAGTTTCAGCTGGTCGACCAGCCTTCTTCGGAGGATCTAAGCGAAATGATACAAGTTCCTGTTGCAGAGGGCCGCCCTCACAGTTTGAAGACCCCCAAAACGAAAAAAAAAGAAAAAAAGAACAAAAGAGAAAAAACGAGATAAACTGGCGAATGAGGCAGCAACAGACAACAAGAAGAAGGAGAGGAAGAAGAAAGGAGCGACGGAGAGCCGCCGGAAGTGGGCGGGTAATCCTTTCATTGTTACAAGAGATAGATAAGATGGGCCGCCAGCGGAGGCGGCTAAGGAAAAGGGAAAAAGTGAAACATATTTCTGTTTACTCGCATCCCACACATGGGTCGAGTTAAAATTCGCGTGGTTCAGCGGCTGGCCCGTGGCATCGGGCCCTACACACATGTACACACACGTACACACATACGTACACACACACGTACACACACACCCACGTACACACACACGTACACACACACACACACACACACACACACACACACACACACACACACACACACACACACACACACACACACACAAAGCAAGAAGCCTATGACCCGCTCCATCTTTAGGAAAATCTTGGCCACGATGGAAAGCTAATGTGCCCTCTCCCCCCTCCCCTATCTGCCCTCTCTTGCAGAAAAGTGTACAACCACTCATACTCAAGATCAAAATAAACAAGTGGATAATATTCAAAGGATGAACAAACAAAAACGTAAACAAAAATGAGAAATAATAAAATATTAATAATGGTAAAGTACTTAAAAATAAAAATAAAATCTAATAATACTAACGCGCCGGTTGGTGCACGTAGCATCGAATTCGTTTATTTTCACGCGCTATATTGATCATCCTATGTGTGCGACTTCATGTATGTATAAATAAATTAATTGAGTAATTCACTTTCTGTGTTTCACAAAACTTCGCGGAGGCACGTCAGTCACCCCCAGGGCTCTCGTTGATTTCGTGGGTGAGTGGTCTGAATTTCTTTATGAAGTATGACTCCAGTTGTTCGCGCTCCGGTGTGTTCTGGAAGCCGGATTGTAGGAGTATGACGCTTACGCGTTCGAAAGAGTGAGCAGGAAGGTTGATATGTTTGGAGAACGGCTAACTGAGGAGGCCCTTTGGTTGGACGTGTGCCCTGTGGTTGTTTAAACGCAAACGGAACGCGGTTTCCGTGTGTTCAATATATTCCTGTTTGCACACCTCACAGCAAATTTTGTATACCACATTGGCTGAGTCACACTTAAGGTCCTCTTTAATTTTGTACATATAGTCTGAACAGGAGGCTTCGGCCATATCTGTGGTCACCATGTGTGTGCACACCCTGCAGCGAGGTTTCCCGCACGGTCTACAGCCATGATGGTGGTCGGATTTGTGTGTTTTCACCCTAACCAGTAAGTCTCTCAGTTTTTCATTTCTTCGGTAAACCACCTTGGGCGGAGTCTGAAAAACAACAGAGAGGCGACTAATCTGTTGAAGTATGCTGAAGGGGCGGGTTAGTATAAAATTCACCCGAGGGGCCGCGGCGGAGTATGTGAGGATTAAATTTGCCCCTGAAGTTATATCTTTATTTCTGCCTTTTTCTCCCATTGTTCATTCTCGGTCCAAAGAGCGAGTGCGCTCAATTTTATTGTCAATCATTTTTTCTGAGTACTTTTGACACAAGAAGGCTGCTCTCAATTCCGATTGTCAAATTGTGTGATTTCAGAGCAAATTCTTCTTCATCTGTTGGCTTGAGAGTAAGGAACACCTGCTTTGCAGGGATGGGGGTGGCTGCTGTGGAAATGCAGATACTGTTGGTGGTCAGTTGGTTTTTTATACAGGGAAGTAGATATGGTGGTGCCACTGAGTGATACAGTGACATCCAGGAAGTGAACACGCTTGTGCGAATACGTGTGCGTGAATGTTATCGAAGGATGCAGGGAGTTGAAATCGGAAATGAATTTGGAAAGATTATGTTTTCCATCAGCCCACACGAAGAATATATCATCGAGGAAGCGTCGGTAGAATATTGGTTTGAATGGAGAATTCTCGAGGAAAGGAATCTCCAAAAAGGCCACGAAAGTATTTACGTAATTTGGGGCCACTTTCGTTCCCCTGGCAGTTCCGTTTACTTGTAGATAAAGTTTTTTGTTGAATTCAAAGTTATTATGTTCAAGTACAAGATTTAGGAGCACCTCTTAAGCACTTTCGTGGAACTCACTCGTCGTTTTACTTTTTCCATAGGCAGCGATTGTGGCGGCGATTCCTTTGGTGTGGGGAACGTTTGTGTACAGTGATGAGACATTCATGGTGACCACATAGCACCCTGGAGGTACCACAAGTTTTGAGACTTCTCGAAGAAAGTGGCTGTTATCTTTAATATATGATGGGAATGATTGTGGGATGTGCTTAATGAGAGAGTCAATGAAACTAGAGATTTTTTCAGTAGCAGTACTGTTGCTGGAAACTATAGGTCGGCCAGGATTGTTAATCTTGTGAATTTTGGGTAGTAAATAGAAGCGCCCGGAAAACGAGTTGCCAGGTGACATCATTTTAAGCATAGGGTACGTTATCTTACCACTCTTACGTAATGATATTAGTGAGGTCTTAATAGTACTTTCATAGTTCCCTGTCGGATCACAAGGGAGTTCTTTATAGAAATTTTCATCTGCCAGTTGGCGAAGCCCTTCTTTGATGTAGTTAGTTCTGCCGAGTACAAGCACAGCACCACCCTTGTCAGCTGGTTTAATAATGATGCTCTGGTTGGCACTTAAACTGCGCAAAGCCTCCCGCTCCTCTTTGGACAGATTGTTGCGAAGGGGTCGGTGCTTTTCATATTCCCTGATTATATATCACCTTGGACGGCTGAAATGTACATGTCTAGATATTTGTCTCGTTGTTCATGTGGAGTCCGAAATTTATCTGAAAATTGATTTTGTTGCCTGCTGCTTTGATCACAAAAATATTCGTTTAGACGCATGGTTCTGGCAAAGTTGTCCAAATCTTGGTAATGTTTAAACTCATCAATTTTGCCCGAGGCGGGGCAGAAGGTTAGACCTTTGTTTGTGCAGGTGTCAAAGATTTGCTGGAAAGGTTAACCACATTGGTGACATCCGTGCTAGTTTGGGGAGATTGACAAGAGGTTAGTTTGATTTGTATACGTTGTGGGAGGATTGCTGGCAGAGTGTTCTAAAATTGGCCGCGCGCCGTCTCACCTCAATTTGTTGTCTTTCTTGCCCTGAATTGTCAATCTCTTTTTTCCTTCGTATTTGGCCAGTTCTTGTGTTTCTAACTGCGTCAAGCTTGACTTTTTTAGCCGCGCTTGTTCTTCCTCTTTAAGTTCCGCCGCCCTACGTGTACTGTGTTGTATTACGACCTGCGTATGCCTAATAGATGCATCTTTTAAAATATGCTCCACTGTCGCTGCTCATTTATGTTGAAGTTTATTCATTGCGGGTTGCCGCTGAACAGTGAGACCCTTTGGTGCGAATTCCGCCCCAGCATGCATTTCAAACCTCACGCGCTTATCAAAATTCTTTCTTAACGCCATGAAATCACGAGATCAACATCTGCTGGAGCGGGCCATACCTGACGGGTTGTTGAGTCAGTGGAAATTTCGTTGAAGCGTCGTTTGTTGTAGTGGAGTTCCACTGTAGCCCACCAACGTGGCTTAGCTGGTGGGGTTCTTGCCTAAGATACCTAATTCGAAAACCCAGTGTGAAAGCTTCAATGATCGTGCTTTCAGTGATCAATGCTTTCAATGATCATCACACTGGCCATTGTTATAGTCTTTATATTACCCGAAAGTTCACATCATGACGTGCTGATGCAGCGAGGAGCTGGCGACATACTGCCCATGTGTCATTACTGCATTGCAGTGAAGATGTTTTTTTTTTCCGCACCGACACGCATTTTAGTTAATCACGACAGCTTTTTCTTTTCTTTCCTGTCTCTCTCTTTTAGTGGCAGCAGTGAACCCCGCGGTTCCCCCGTGTTAGAGGCAAAATTACAAGCAGATATTGCTGGAAGACAACCCGACGAGTCACAAATGAGCTGGCACAGCAAACGACCAAGCCCTGATTACTTCGAATATTTCCAAGTTCCTTGCATCCAACGTTTTGTATGTTTCGGCAATTTGAAAACCCATTTAATTTCACTACTTCTCACAGCCCCAGTGAATTAGAACTAAGAATGGTTTACTGTATTTTCAATGTTTTAGCTCATGGAAATAATTACTCAAATTTCCTTCAAAGTTGGAAGTTTGATTTCACACACCCCTAAATAAATGTCCACTCTAGGGCAAGATGTAATGCTGAGGGGGGATGTTACACATAAGGAAAGTTTCAAGTTATCGAAAACTCAATAATAATTTCAAAAACGTGTGTTGGTATTCTCTGTTCAATCGGCCGATTGAACAGGGAACACCAAAACAAATTTTTAAGTACTGAACACTAGAAGAAACATGCCGTGCCAGTGCTTCTCGAGAAAAAAATTTGTCACAACAGTAAAGTTGTGCACTTTCACAAAGGACCGTAACACTAGAGTGCAATACATTTTTTCGCTTATCCCCTATTTCGGCAGCTGACATTCTGTGTGCAGTTTTTCATCTTCCCTAGAGTTCATCTTTAGTTCACTGGCTGGCATCCCTCTATGTATAAAGAAATCTCACACCAAATTTATTTGAATGAACATTTGTTCCATGTTCGTTGCTTGTGTTGTTTGTTCATGGGAATAATTGTCATCTGCAGGATAAAACGGGAGTTGCAGCAGAAGATGATTGGCGAAGCAGTTTCAGAGCGGCAACGGGTGAGTCTGACTAGGCTTAAATGCATGTTGTTGTATTGATCAGAGCTAATTGTAAAAATAGCAGACACTAATAGGTGCAGGCTAGTTGGTGCATCTTTAGAATCACTAAAGGAGTTAGCGCCAAAAGCACGACTACACAAGAACACATAGAGAGAACGCATGTCGACTTTGAGGCCCATATTCACAAATGAACCATATACTTATTGCTGAGTGTAGTAGCTTTTTGGGCGAGTTGGTTCATAGTAATAGGAAAAAGAAATGAGCGACCAATTGCACGAAGATAGCGAAGAGGAAGGACACAGAACAAGCGCTGCACTCTTTATTGAAGAATTGCACACACACCCAAACACATTAATCAGCAGCGCATGTGTAAAAAGGCAACTGAATTTAATTGAAGAATTGCACACACCCACCGACACATGAATCAGCTGTGCATGCATAAAACGGTCATATTTTTATGCATGCGCTGCTGATTCATGTCTTGGGGGGTGCGTTCAATTTTCCAATAAACAATCAGCTGCCTTTTTACGCATGCACTGTTCATTCATATGTTGGGGTTGTGTGCGATTCCTCAATAAACATTCACGTAAGTCCAGCACTTGTCCTGAGTGGTTGTTCTTCTTCGCTGTCTTCCTGTGGTGTCTCACTGGTTTCTTTTTCACATTGTTCTTATTGCTGAGTTTACACACTCTTTCTGTAACCCTTAATGTGCTTAATACACAAATATGAAAGCAGCATTCACTAGCCAACCTCTATTATATTTTGCCCTGCTTACCGTTTTTATGTACTTAACGCACATCAAGGGCACAATAACGATAGATAAAATGAGAGATAAGGATAAGGTTGGTTTGTGATTGCGGGCCTTAACTGTTTATTTTTGGAAGACAACAGACAATAAACGCATTTTTGAAAATGCATGTACAACCCACATGTTCTTTCTCCTTAACCCTTCTTAACAATATTGGCAACAGAAATACCACAGTGCACAAAAAACTCTAATGAATAAGGGAGCAACAGGAATACTTTATTTGGTTGCTTTTTTTCTCTGCTAAAATTTTTTTTTTTGAATTACCAACTTGCCCAAACATTTCTCTTGGTCTGTCATATTGACAAGCACTGTTGCCAATGATTGCATGTCAGTGGCAACATGGAAGAATAATATAGAAGAGAAGAAAATAGAAGTAAGGCACGAGCAGTCGAATAAGAACCACTGTGAAAATGTCGGGGACTCCCCAGGTTTGTGGCTATCAATGTACTGTACCAGGAAGACCACTTGCTTATGCTACTTTGTCAATTTCGCATTTTGATAGTTACAAGCATTTTTAAAATTTTATAGCTTACTGGCAAGAAGATCTCAATATGTTTTGATCTCAGACCCAGACGCCTTCTTTCTTGCTGATTGGCCACGGTGTCAGACACCCCAAATAATGTTTGTACAAAAGAAACTACAAATTATAGATGTGAACATTAGAAATGTAATTGCGACTAATGACATGAGTTGTAATGATATAATTGAATATGATAATATTTTCTCCCCAAAACCAAAGATTCATTCTCTCAAACTTTCAAATAACATAATAATAGATCACTTGGAGCATGCAGAAACATATAATAGCCACAGATTTTTCCGTGAGTAATCAAAAGCCAGGTGTAGTCACTGCCTCTGATTCGCTTGACTTGTGCTTCTCAGTGTGTCTGCCTGATTTCACTCCAGTTTTTGAAGCTGAGCTCGTGGCAGTTATTTTAGCATTTCGAAAACTTCCATCGAATCAAAACAGCACAGTCATAATGATGGATTCCTTTTTAGTTTACGCAGCTCTGACAGTTTCTGAGAACTCTCGAACTCTAGGAACATTCTGAACATTAGTATCACCGCAGCTGAGACACCTGAAGTTACTGTTCGTTCCAGGACACTGCAGATTAAGATTAAATGAACTGGCCGATTCCTTAGCATGAGTCACGCTTGATGGCCCAATTTGTACTGCCAGAGGTTTAGTATATTACCGTAGTAAGATATAGAAAATCAGCAGTTTGCACTGATATGGCAGAAAGAATAACTGCATGGACAGAATGTAACCACCTCAAGTTTCCATGGCGACCCCAGGGAAGTCAGTCCAGAAAGCTTGAAGTTTTAATTACTAGATTTCAATGCCGTGTCCCCCCTCTAAACAGAGCTGGCCCCGTGAGATCACTCCTTTGTGAATTCTGCGGACAAATAGAATCAATTGAACATTATTTGTTCTTATCTTGTCGCCAACACTTTATGCTTAGAAAAGGACTTCTAGTTATTCTCTTACTGAAGATAGGCGTTACACTGACGGTGGAAACTGTACTGAACTGTACTGAACTGTACTGAACAATGCCACAGGGATGCTCCCAATATCGCTTGGGATTATATTCAGGGATCCAAAGGTAACTCATTGTGATCCCCAATCAAATAATTATTATTTTGTATGATAAAAAAAATGTTCATTATGAATGGTCAGGGGAACTAAACACAGCTGTGTGGTGATCTTAACACCTGAAATCTCAAAATCTCTGAAACTGACTTTTCAATTTTTTTCTCTCTTCTTCTGTTGTTTTCCTTACATTCGATGTATTATAATACAAATTCATTCTTGTAAGGCTCACAAAAAAAGTACACTGTGCTTTCTTGGCCAATCTGCCTGAGTGGTGTGAGCCAAGAGTCCAAGGAAACAAACAAACAAAATGAACATGGAGTGTCTAGACTATGACGCGAACTTGTTATTACGCGACAATATTTCTGGGGCTGAAATCCCCCGGCCATGCCCTTCCAAGACTTGTGCTTCCGATGGCATTGTTGGAGCAGCTGTGAAAGAATCGTGGCATCGTCAGGGCCAGCATCACGTGACCTATCACGCTCCTGACGAAAGAACTACAGGCCGTCGTTTCCAATGCCAGTCAGGTAGACTCGCATGTTGCCTACCTCACTCTGAAGAACGTCAAGCTCGTCAGCCTCAACAAGGAAATCCTCGATGCCATGGACGATAATGCTTACGAAGAAAAGCTCAAAGCGTGGAAGAGTACGACTAAAAAGTGTCTATGGCGCGACCGTGCTTTTTTCTTCCTGAGCCAGCCAACACAGCACTAGCAACGATGACTTCAAAGCACGAGGCTGCGCTGCCGAATGCCAACGTTGCTGGTGCCAGCATTTTGGCCAAGATCGAGGTCAGTGACTCTTCTAGAGTAGCCAATGCGATACCCAGTGAAGGAACAATGCCGCGTCATCGCACAGTGCTCCTGTCGAAACTATAGATACTGACACTTTCCAGCGCATTCGTGATTGGCAGTTGTTTTGGGACCATATCAGTGTCACAATTCACGTGAATGAAGACCTTTTACAAATGGAGAAGTTCAAGTACCTTCAGTCCTATTTGAGCGGTGCAGTGAAGAGGGCATCCGATTAACCGAAGACATTTACAACATCGCGATCAAGACCTTGACGGAGAGATCTAGTCGATGCGGCTTCCTCGTCAACGAGCACGTTGACCATCTGCTCGCCTAAGCCCCAGTCAGTCGTTGGCAGACGTTGAGAAACTTTGCCTGCTCTATGATTAGGTCAACTTTCGAGTCTCTGCATTGACCGGTTTGGGCGTCCCACCTTACCTGTACAATGTGGTCTTCAGCCGCGTCCTGATGAAGTGTCTGCTGGTCGACCTCGCAATTCGCTACCGCCAGAAGGTGAAGGAAGCGCCGCAGAAAACGTCTGGTATCGTGACACCTGAACAGAGAGCTCACCAGGCTGCCGAATTTCTCAATTTCTTGCACATTCAGACAGAGGTCAGGGAGGAAGGCAGGCCAGGATGACCAGTGTCAGGTTTCTCATGTCTGCTACTTGAAGACGTTTATGCCCGCCGAAACCAGGGAGACATGTGTTAATCACATCTGCTCTCGCCGCCGAGTTTGTTGCAGTTACAGAAGAAGCTTGCCTCTTTTGCAATGACTCTTGTCACAGCATCGTGGAGTGCAACATCCAGCTCTCAGTGAACGAAAAATGGGATCGCTTGGGCCATGCTCGATGCTGCTACCGCTGCGGCTGGAGCAACCACGTGTCACGGTTTTGTCAACGTGCACGCAGCAAGTGCCATAGTCAGCATTTGACGATCCCGTGTGAGTTGTTCCGGTCTGCTTCATTAACTCGTACCAGCACAATGACAGTGAATTCGTCAAGCCTCGCATCACGAGTCGAGCCATGAATACGCCTTTAGTGACATCTGCTCCAAGCGCCCTGAGCAGAGGCAACGCAGTCCTTCTGCAGACAGAACGAGTGTGGATTGAAGATGGGTTACGAAAATGTCTTGTACGCTTTCTTCACGACAGCGGCCGTCAGCGTATATTTATTCAAGCAGATCTCTCAAGGTACCTCAGATACCCGGTTATTGGAAACGAAGGATTGTCTTTGGTTACGTTTGGCCACTCAAAGCCCCGCGAAGTAACGCGCACTCGAAGGGTAGCTTTGACTATCCGAGGCCAACATAGCAACACAGCGGTAACCGTGGAGGCCTTGGAAGTACCCAAAATGTGTACGGTCACGAGCCTGCTGCTGAACAATGCAGTCCTGGAACTTCTTGGTGAGAAGAACTGTGACATTGCAGACAACTTTTATTCCGATTCATGGCACCCACAAGAATTAAGCGAGTTATTTGGCTCTGACGTCCACTGGAAGTTATCAACCAGTAAGATAGATCCTTTGTCCTGTGATTTGATGGCTGTTGAAACCAAGTTTGGATGGACCATTCAGAAAAAAATGGAATTATCAAGAAGTTTGCCTACTAGCACTCTATTCCTGCAATGAAGTAGGACTTCCCTGCCCGACTGCGATGCTTCTGTGATGCGGTGTCTCGACGTTAACAAAGTCAAGTCCTCTATCGAGGAAACGGACAAGGCTCGCACTAAACTTGAGTCATCGGAAGAGGGAATCAAGTTAGACGGACGCTACCAAGTACCGCTGATGTTAGAGAATACAGGGATACCTTCTGGCAGCCAAAATCGAAGGTTAGCTGAATGTCGTCTGCGAGCTCAGTTAAGCAGTTTCAAACAACCCGAACTCCTCAAGCAGTACGACATGGCAGTTGAAGTGTACGTCAACCAGAAACACACAGCGAGAGCTGAAACACTACCCACAAGAGACAATGTATATCCTGTGTTCCATCACACAGTCATTTGCCGAGGTGCCATCACAAAGCTTCGTGCTGTGTTTAACACTTCACCGCGCACACTATGTCCTCCTGCCGAGAAGGATCTTCAGCTCAAGAGTACAAAGCTCAACACTGAGGCTGCACAGCTGCTCATAGTCTTCCTTTGTCAGCCAACTGTCTACTGGAAGTTCCCGGGTGACAGAACTATGTGGTGGGGAGGCTGGTGGAAGCACCACATCAGAATGACAAAGAATGCATTGAGATGGTCTTTTGGGCGCAACAGTTTCCGCACCGAGGCTCTCACTACGGTTATCTTCGAAGTACAAGTGGTCGTCAACAGCCGACCTTTTCTGCACCTTAACAAGAGTCATGATTAACTCCAACCACTTAATCGATCGCACTTCCTGCTTCGAAAACATGTCGCTTGCTTTTTGCAACATTGTACTTCTGATTGCAAGTTAGCTATAAAAGACAGGACCTTCTGTGCCTCATGGATTATCAATAAACGTCTCAAGGTGAGCTACAGATCTGATTGAAGCGGAACTTAGCATTACACAAACCCGTGCAAATGGCCCTGTTCGTAAACTGCATAGGTTATGTGCTTGTGCATGCACTACAGTGAAACTCAAGCGCTAAAATAGCTGAATGATGTTATGTCAGTGTACCGAGTAAAGCACAGCATTGCACGCAGTTCTATTGTGCGATTAGCATCTGAAATGGCAAACAAAATTATTCGTTCAGTTAGTGTATATTCTAGAGGCAAGTCAGCGAGACTTAACTGCCTAGTGATCGCCTTCGCCCCTTGGGAATATGTTGCCGATGATTGCGTGTGAGCAGCAACATGGAGGAAGAACATAGAAGAGAAGAAGGTAGAAGTAAGGCATGAGCAGTCGAATAAACATAGAATGCTTGGACTAGGGCTCGGGCTCGTTATTACGCAACAAGCACTTTACAGGTAGCATATTTCTGGGTAACGCGAAGTCACGTAGGACTTGCGAAATTGCAACTGCTATTCTTCAGAGTAAACACTTCCAATACTTCCACGAAACATGGTGTACACCTACTTGAAGTCACATGCGCTCATGCTTCCCTTTCAATTTTTTCAACTGTTGGTTACAATTCTTGTAATGTGATGGCAAACATTTTCTAGAAAGGGAAGATAACATGAAGTTTTTCTTGAATATTGTGACAATTTTTAAGGCTATTAAAAAACCAGAGTGATTTGATAAACCACATAGCGTCATAATGACATAACATGATGGCATTATCAAGCAGTGCTCTCTGACCTAGTTGTGTAAATCATGGGTAGTCAGGGGGTCCTGATGCCTCTTAGGTTAAAGATTCCAGCGGGGGAAGGGGAGGAATCTCTTGGAGGTGTGGAGATAATGCATTCAAACATCATATTTGAACTTGTAATATGAAGTTCGGAATCTGATGCCCTTCCTATGGCCAAAAAATTAAGCGCAAAAGTGAAAGCCGCTTTCTATTTCTTCTGTTCTAGAATTTACTGTTTAGCAGAGAGCTTTCTAAAACGTGTCGCTTTACATTTAATGTGCTGTGAGTACTTATTATGCTTGGCTTTCAAATGTAAAGTAAATGAAAACTTCACAATTATGTATGCTTGTTTATTTGTGTCGATGCCTTGGTAGAAGACATTCCACCAAATATGCACTACTCTATCTGTGCTTCTTTCTTTGTGTCCTGTGTACTTTGTGCGTTTTTATGTTTCCTAAGTATGGATCTAAAGCGCCTCTTTCAGCTTTATCTGTTGCTTTACTATAACTGTGTTTGTTAAAAAAATTAGGAGCCATACTCCTGTCAGGGAAGACAAGAAATCAGTGTGAGCGTGCCTGACAGCATCGGTGCAAAAGTGACAGTAATACTTTCTGTTATATGTTTCCAATGATCTTCTAGTTGCTAGTCAGCGCTATGGTTCGTCCCTTCTGTGTCTGCGTCGGATTTGGGCTTTGGGATTTGGGATTTGGGCGTCGGATTTGTTTGAGAACACAGTTGCTTTTTCTTCAGATCAAAAGCTTGCTGGACAAGAAGAAAGCCGAGCTGGAAAGGCAACATGAAGAAGTGCGTAAAAGCTTGGAGGAAGAAAAGAGCCAGGTGAGCCATTCATTAACTGGCACTGGACAAGGATAGTTTACAACCATTGTGCATGTTGAACGCGAGTTCACAGCTTGTGTCACGTGCTTTATTGCAAGGGCAAGCATTCAAGGCTTGCATTCTCATGTGCCAAGTGATGGAGGTCACACGATGGGCTTGCCTTTATAGACGGTTTTCACGGAGAGAAGTAGCATAGCCTCGAACCAGTGCATTTTGTTCCCTCTCACTTTTCACCCGGCGTTTGCCATCACCGCTGGTGTATGGGGATGTCACATTTTGCATGCGTGGTGCCTGAGAGGTCAATTCGTTTAGTTTATTTTTATGCGCTAAAGCTGTTTAGCTGCCAAAAATCGAAATATTGAACAATAATAGGTTGACAGGATGCCACGGTGCTGTGTTTGGCTGCCACAACTACTACTATCGAAAGCACAGAAGGCTGATAGCCGAGATTATGCGACGTGCAACTTCCTTCGAAATTACTTATCTATGTCATAGGCCTTCTCTGACATGTATTTTATTATGTGTGGTGTTTGTCCTTGTGACTGTTTCCTCATTATATCAGCTTGTGATTATGCTTGGCTTGCCGGTACACTTCATAACCTAGACCAAAGAGAATCACTGTTAAAGCGGACGGTTAACACAAAGATATCTGCCCACAATTCCAAAAGTATGTGCCCAAAATATGTGCCCAGAATTCTTCTGTTGCAGCATTAACATTCCCCATTTCTTTTCTACAGCACATGAGTTGCAATGCCTGCAGCTACTGAAATCTAAGCAAGTGCAATTTCAAAATTATGGAATGAGCAGTATTCAAACTGCATGGCATAAAGGCCGGCGTGACTTAAGTGATCTTTGGCTTGAGAACGTGCCTTTAGTGTTTTTTTCGATGGCACTTCAATTCTCGACTTGTCAATTTTGCGACGATAAAGAAGACATTTTTCTCATGATGGCATTTTTTTTTTGTAACAAAAGCTTTAGTGCTGTCACGGCCGCTGGATAAAAGAGAGCACGTGTACAACCCGCCGCGTGCTCCAAAACCAGCGGGACAGGTGTAGTTCTCGAACCACCACTGCGGCGCCACCAGGGAGGGACAGTTCTCACGAGTGCCTATGGAATTGCATGCATGGAATCGCTTACGGTAGTTACGACCGAGTGCGTGCGTCTTTGTTTGATCCGTAAAATCTTCTTGTAATATTCGTCTGCCGTGCCCACTACGTAATTGCCGACCTTGCCTTTAGATACCTGTAGCCTTTGCAAAATTTTTGTATTGTCTTGCCCAAAATAGAACCTTGCACACCAATCAGTTTTCCCCGGAGTAAGAATTGCGAGCACATTTTACTTGGATCCTACTACATCACAACTAACTGATCTAGAAGAGCTACACCTTTTTAATGCATCTAAATTGATTAGAGTAACCGTGAGTACGTCGCTTCAGAAAACGTTGCTTCAGATTTAATCATTTCATTTACAATAAGTAACTTCAGCAATTTCAGTTGCCATTATTCCTTTAACACAAAATAAGATAGACTTTTTACTTCTCAAATTATTTAAATCTTTTAAAATATGCTCCACTGTCGCTGCTCATTTATGTTGAAGTTATTCATTGCGGGTTGCCGCTGAACAGTGAGACCCTTTGGTGCGAATTCCGCACCAGCATGCATTTCAAACCTCACGCGCTTATCAAAATTCTTTCTTAACGCCATGAAATCACGAGATCAACATCTGCTGGAGCGGGCCATACCTACAGTGTTGTTATTGTTACAGTGTATACTATTGTTATTAGTATTTGATTTGCATACACAGATACACAAGGACACAGAGGAAAGAGAAAGAGAGCAAGCTGGCAACTGCCACCTGGAGGGGCACAACACCTGCTCACTCTTACAGGAGGAGGGAAGCAACAGAGGAAACAAAGATTAGAGAGGAGAAAGAGGAAAGAATATGAGGAAGAGAAAAAAAAAAAGGACGTAGACTTCGACGAGTATGAGTAAAAAAAAAAAATAGAGAGAGAGAGACCGTCTATAAACGTGTGGCCAGGTCCCTTTGGTTCATAAATTTAAAGAGAGCTCGGTGGGCCTGGTCGCGTCAGGAAGCACTACCACTCGGAAAGAGGTAGTCATCTAGAGTCGCGCACTTGAGTCTTAGGAATTTATATTCCTTAATCAGCAAAGACCGCTGCATAGCAAATGTGGGACAATGCACTATGAGATGCTCAAGTGTTTCGCAGGAGCCACAATCTGCGCACAATGGGCTGTCCATACGCCCTTGACGGTGTCATGTTCATGCACCAGCACAGAGCCCACTCTTAGTTTGTACAACAGCGCTCGGGAACTACGAGGCAAGCCACGGCCACGAACACGTGGAGAGAATGATCCATTCGCCACACGCTGGTCTGGGTGTTGCTTTAGGAGGTGTCGCGTATAAGCAGACGAGGGTTGTTCATCGTACATAGAATTCCCGGAGAATCACAGTCATCATGGTTGCATGACGAAGCAAGGCGATCCGCTTCTTCATTGCCCACAATACCCACGTGCGAAGGTACCCACTGTGCAGCTAGGCATACCCCACATGACAGAATATTGTTAATGGATTCCGTGATGCTGCTCAGAATAGGGCTGTCGGTCTCCTTGCTGGTGATTCTTCTAAGCGCAACCACGAGAGTCGGTGAGGATGACAACCTTCGATGCTGGTAACCCTTCTTGTAAACACTTAAGGGCAACATCAACCGCTGCTAGCTCGGCCGTCACCGACGATGAGGGGTGCGGTATTTTAAACAACCGCCTGATATCGGTTGAAGGATAGAAGAAAGCTGCAGATGCGCTCAGGCCATCGCTGCGTACACAAGCGTCCGCAAACACTTTTGCATAGTCTTCGAAGTTTTCAAATAAGTGTGAATGGGCTAATTGGTATAGTTCCGAAACAGGTTGGTCACACTTATTGCATATTCCTGGAATTGACAGATGGGTAGGGAAGGCACATGGCATGTGCTCTGTCGATGTCGGCAACTGAATAGTTTCGCCGGAATTGCCAGTAATGTCATTGAACAATGCTGCCATTTTACGCATCTGAGAAAGTGGGCACTGTAACAGCCTGTTAAGAAGTGTCTTGCTATGTGGGGCTTGGTTCAGACGCTCAATATGATGTAGCGCTCTCTGGTCAGCTTGCAGCCTTAGCGGCAACTGGTGTGCTTCAGTCAGTAGTGGGATGGATTGTGCTTCACGAGGTAAGCCAAACAGTACTCGGAGAGCAACAGGATGATCCCATTCTAGCTGAGACATTAAAGCAGGCGGCACATTCAAGACTGGCAAAGCATACATCACGCAAGAGAGGACAGCTGATTGCTAAACCTGTAGTGCCGTCTTCTGATTAAAGCCCTCACCTCTAGCAGTCAAGGCGGCTACATACTTGAACACGGACAGCGCATTTCGCCTCACAGTTTTAACAGCAGGGCGCCAAGAAAGGGGATCATTGATGATTACACCCAGGTAGCGATGTTGGTGTACCCACTGTATCGGTGTGTCTTTGAGGTAAAGCCTGCTAAGGCTTCGACGAGCGCGTTGCCTTGAATAATATGCGATGGCAGCTGACTTTGCTGGTGAAACCTGCAGGCCAACCTCCACCAAGTATTCTAAAGTTGCATTCAGAGCTCGGTGCAATTTGCCACGAAGACGTGGACCATGGTGTGACGAACCACTGACCCAGAGTGCGATGTCATCAGCATAAATCGCTATGTCTATAGGAAAGTCACATTCGTGTGGTAATCGGCCTGGAAGTCCAGCAAGTACGCTGTTAAATAGAAGCGGTGACAAGACGCTGCCTTGCGGGACGCCACATTTAACAGCGTGAGGTTGACTCTGTACTTTTTCAATGCGCACTTTCATTCTGCGCTCAGACAGGAAATCACGGAGAAAGTGTAACAGACGACCTGAAATTCCTCCATTCATCAGTGCACAAATAATCGCCTTATGTGGCACTAAGTTAAACGCTTGCTGTGTCAAGAAATAGAACTATACGCTGAATGTCTGTTTGCTCGAGCAGATTCAAGCGATGATACAAGATCTGCTATGCTGTCGAGGGCTGAACGGTGGTGACAAAATCTACTCATGACATCAGGGAAGAAAGTGAGCTCCTGTAATCTGGCGTCCAGACAAAACAGCACCATACGTTTAATCAGCTTCATAACATTAAAAGTTAGTGATACTGGCCGGTACTACTTCAGGAGCTGTGCAGGGCAACCAGGCTTTAAAATTGGCTTCACCACAGATGATTTCCATTCAGCAGGAAGCAGACTCGTTTGCCACACTTTGTTGTATTCAGTCCAAGATACTTCGATGAAAGACCTCATCAATGGTTCACAAGGCTTGGTACATAACACTATCTTCGCCTGGGGCAGTGCGACGTTAACAGAGGCTGTGCATGACGCAGCTCTGCCAGGGTAAATTCTGCCTCATCAATCTCACATGGAGGTCCATATAAAATTGTTACGGACCGATGACTTGCGTTGCCTTTTGACATAGGACAGGCGGAAATATTGGCAAAATTTTCCACAAGAATTTTCAGAGACCGTCTAGTCGTATTGCACAATGCTGTAGTTAGGTTCTTGCAGACCTCAGGTGTTCGAAGAGCCTTCAATATGCGCCATACACTCCCAAAACCACTTCTCAGAACACTTCTATAGTTCTCAAAACAGTTCTCAAAACACGTCCATAGTATTCGTACAATACACTATCAGATGCAACAGTCACAAAATATACTTGGAATGTGTGCGATCTCTTAACAGTAGACTCGAGCCTCTTTGAAATTTCAGTGACTGTAACTTCTGTGCTGGCAATTGAGCGAACAGTTATAAAGTGAATAATATTAAAATGTGAGATCAAAAGAGCAATGAAATGCTGCAAAATGCAAACACGGCTGCTTGCGTTCCTGCGAATTTGAACGTTTTCGTCTCTTTCCGTCCTTATGTTCTTATGATAATACAAATAATTCAACAGTGAACACAT